AACATTGTTGATTATTTAACAATTTTACACTAATTTAGATGGATTTAAACTGATTTGAGTCGTACAAATGGGCAATTTTAAGAAAATTATTTCGGTTAGGATCGATTTGGCACCACCTAGACCGGTTTTTAGAACCTTGAGTAGTGCCAGTGGAAATAAACAGTGAAGAAAGTGATGTGTTTATATTACAACGCTCTCTTTTGTTTATCTTTCAGGCCAATGTTTATCATGCTACAAAATCTGACGGTTCAGAACTTGCAATAAAAGTGTACAAGACATCAGTTCTGGTTTTCAAGTGAGTTTAATACACACATACATGTATTTTTTCTTTATAAAAGAAAATTAGAAATGACCATACCTAATTACACTATTTTCAACTTAAATGATTCCAGGGATCGAGATCGATATGTACAAGGAGATTACCGTTTCAGACATGGCTACTGTAAGCATAATCCCCGGAAGATGGTGAAGACGTGGGCTGAAAAAGAACATAGAAATCTTAAGAGGTAAGATAATACAATTCGTCATTGGTGTGTGCTACATATTAAGACATGAGTGAAATTAGAATAAGGAATCTTGGCAGACCTGTGTGTTTTGCACTTAATACATATGATTACTGTATATACATGTTTGATATATAAACATAATAGTAGTTTTTTTAAGTCCTTAGTTTTGTACATATGCATGTTTCATTGGCAGGCTTCAGGCAGCTGGAATTAGATGTCCAGTTCCTATACTTCTACGACTTCATGTTCTAGTCATGGAGTTTATAGGTTCGCTCTATTGCATTATCTGTTGTTTTGGTCACTTATTCAAGAATTTTCTTTTGTTTTCAAACTGGCTAAGGTTGTTTTTATATAAATCAATTTGCAGGAAGGGATGGTTGGGCTGCACCTCGTCTCAAGGATGCTGCACTATCACTAGACAAGTTACGCGAGTCTTATCTAGAGGTATGCGAGTGGTTTTCTACAGCCACCATTAATCTCTTTATGGGCTATCATAACGTGATTTTGCTGACATCTTTTCGTTTGTTTATTTTTCAGTTGATAATTCAAATGAGAATATTGTATCAAAAGTGCAAATTGGTTCATGGAGATCTCAGCGAGTATAACATACTTTATTTTGAGGTGACTCTCAAGTTATCCTTCTTCTTGAATGGTATCTTTGGGTTTGCATATATGTCACTGATATTAACTTACCCATTTTGCAGGGGCATCTTTATATAATTGATGTTTCACAGTCTGTGGATCTTGACCATCCTCTTGCCCTCAATTTTCTACGGGAAGATTGTGACCACGTCTCTGTAAGTGCTACAATGTTTACCAATACTTTCGATTTGACTGGATAATAATTTCTCATGTATGGGGATTATTATTCACGTGCAGGATTTTTTCAAGAAACATGGTGTTGCTGTAATGACAATAAGGGAGCTATTTGACTTCATAGTCGACCCGACAATCTCAGACGAGAATGTTGATAGCTATTTGGAAGAGGTATATAGAAGTTTAATCAGTGGCAGCTTCACGTTTGAAGTTGTAAGGGTTTTGTAATAGCAAAGCTAAACTAATGAAGTGTTTAATATGAGGCAGGTCCAACGCAAAGTGATAGAGCGAGGAGAGATATCTGTAGAGGATGAGATCGCAGATTCAGTTTTCATGAAGGTTGGTGAAGTTTTTTCTATTGTCAGAAGTATAATGTCTAAGGCTTCAGAACCGTCTTGATTTTATTGGTTTTGTTGTTATGGTGATCAGTCATACATACCGAAGACTCTGGACGATGTGAAGAACCCTGAGGCTGATGTGGAGAAGATAACAAGCGGGCAGGATACAGGAGACATGCTGTACCAAACAATAACAGGGCTTAAGGATGCTCTTCCTAAAGTAGATGAGCAGCAAGTAAAGGTTGATGATGTTGAAGAGGGAAATAAAGAGGAAGAAGGAGAAGAAAGTGAAAACGAAGAAGACGAAAGTGAAAGTGGGAGTGAAGAGGAAGAAGAGTTGGGTCCTGAAGACAAGAAAGCAGCAAGGAAAGAGCACAAGAAGAAAGTGAAAGAAGAGAAGAGAGAGGCTAGGAAGAACAAGACACCCAAATCTGTCAAGAAGAGAAAGAAGAAAATCTCTAAACCTCACAAGACCCGTTAGTTCTATTTCGACTGCTTACTTGTCCTTTTTGTTATTTTTAATTATTTTACAAGTTTTTTCTTATAATCTATAGAATTGTGAGAGTATTTGTGTTAAATTCTTGAATCTTGAGTAGGGATCGTTTGTCTTTTTTTTACATGTGGTTTAAAGAAGATAGGCAACATATAACCAGAAGTTAGAATCAAGCACAATTTAACAATATGTAAGAACATATTCTAATCCTATGTAAGAATCCTAAAACAGATAACCGAGTAATAAAACAGTAGTGTAGACACAACACATGATAAGAAGGTATACATGTTTCGTTAGAAATCAAGTACAACATTTGATTAAGAACCTAACTGTTCTTGAACAACCAAACAAAACAAAACCTTGCCAATCCATAATCGTCGAAAGCAACAACGCCTTAGTCATCACAACTATCTGTTGAGGAATCAGCTTCTATTCCGGTACAAGGCGTGATCGTTGAGGATTTCAAGTGACGAGCGTGTTTAATGATAAAACTCACGAAGTCTCTCTCTTCTTGACTTCCCCTGTACTCTGCATACTCGAAAGTTTCAAGGCTCTCCAACAAACACGTAGGAACAGAGATGTCGCTGCTGTTCCAGTTAATTGGTTCATACTTCTTGAAAAGTATATCTTTCTAAGGAACAAAAGAGAGAGAGAGAGAGAGAGAGTTAATAATAAGACTACACCACCATAGACCTCTTTTAGATAGTAAATTAGTCAACTTACGGAGACACGGAGATTAAGAACTCGCAGGTTAGGAGAATCATGGAGCAGCCGGAAAAGCAACTTTGACCAATAATCAAAACGTATACATAGCTTCAGTTGTTCAAGCCGATTGAAGAATATACCATCATGATACATATACTGCAAACAACACACCTTCAATTCAATCTTATAGAGTATTTCTAAGTGATGTAATAATAATTTGCTAATAAATAAAATTTTTACCTAATGTGAAACTATGTTGAATGATACGCATAAGGAAAGGCGTTTGACAGATGTGATTGAATCGAAAATATTAAACAAATAATACTCGACACAAATGTCTGCTTCTTCAACCTCAGGCATATGTGTAATCAAATAAGAGTAGCTTAAAGTATATTCCTCAACTTTGAAATACTTCAAAGAAGGAGTAGCTATCACATACTCCTCAAGGAAATGCAATCCGTGACCTATCGGTAAGGTTAACCTCTGCAAGGAGGGACTAAAAACAGCTACGGTTTTCATGTTGTCCTGACCATTTCGTTGAATAACCTGATCTTCAAGAACGGGGCAGTAGGATATAAGCAGCCTAAAACATTCATTGTTTAGGTAAGTGATATCTTCAGGTTGAAATGAAGAAAAGCATCTGAGGAGAAAGGTCTCTTTGACCGGAGGTTTGAGTAGTGGGAGATTCTTGTTGATAAAATCCCTAATTGCAAGGTCGGATCCAAACTTGTTATCCACGAACTCGAGTTTGGGCACCCACGTCCAAAGAAGCTCCCACCGTTTAGACAGAATGCTAGTGGATACAGCAACTTTTGTCGGGACGAACGTTAGTATCTTGACCAGTAACTCATCGGATAGTCCACTGATTCTGTCCATACCTTCACAAAACACTAGAAAAGAGTTGAAATGTTGAAAGATAGAACATGAAAAAAACCCCAGAACAAAAAAAAAAGCTAAAGTCTTGATTTATAGGTAGAATAAGACAGAACCCCAGAAAAAAAAAAAAACTGTATTTTTACTACACGGTAAGAATATAAAGCTAACAAATTGGAAAACATAGCCAAACAGAGTGGAATGAAGCAAAACCCTAGAAAAAGCTTGAATGAGTGGGGAAGAAATTATTAACCTGTTAAGTTTAGTGGAGGGCACGAATCTCTGCTAGAAGACCAAATCAGAAACACTCGGAGAACTGTGAAGGCATTTGTCGTCACTGAATATCCATTTTCGGGTTACTGAATGTCTAAATTCTGAAATAAAATGAATTAGGGCTGGGCAAAAAATTTGGATCCGAAGAACCGAACCGAACCTGATCCGAAAAATTAGTATCGAATTCGAACCGAAATTGATTCAATATTCAAGTGAGTTCAAAATTTTGGTATTTAAAGAACCGAAACCGAAACCGAACCCGACCCGAACCGAAGTATTAAGGGTACCCGAATATATCCGAAAGAGATTTATATACCTATATATATTAGTTAGTTTTAGATTTAATGTATATATAAAAAACATTCAATATATATAAAATACTTTGAAGTTATTCAAAATACTTGTAAATATATGTAAATATATGTAAATAGTCAAACATACATGTCTAAAATTACTAAAGTACACTTAAAACATCGAAAATATTTAAAAAAATTATTGATTCCCAATCCAAATATTCAAATTAAACTAATTTATATGTTAATTTTAGGTATTTTGACTTATGTTATTCAATTATTTGTAATATGTTATTTTCTTTATAGATTTTTAGAAATGTATAGTATATAATCAATTTTAAAATTTTAAAAATAATTTAAATGGGTTATCCGAACCCGAACCGAACCCGCAAAGATCTAAACCGAACCCGAACCGAAATTTAGAAATATCCGAATGGGGCTAAAATTTGTGAACCCGAAAACCCGAAACCCGAATAGATCCGAACCGAACCCGAATGGGTATCTGTTAATATTAACAGAATGAAGAAAAAAAAGGAAGTGAAAGTAGAAGAAACTATAATGGGCTTCTAGATGCAGTGCCGATCGCTATTGTTTTAGTGGGCCTGAACCCAAAACTGAAAAAAGAAACAAATGGAGCCAGACAATCAGCAGCTAGGGTTTTCGAGATACACTGCAGAGCTTCAGATTAACCAACGACGGTGAAATGGAGGGTTTCTCTGGCGACTCCGAGGACGACATCCCGTTTGCATTATTGACCAACAGGACTTCGCAAAAGAGGCAACGTTCTCCGACCGAACGCACTGCGACGCTGCTGGATCTGGATGTTACAGACTGTCCCATTTGCTATCATCCCCTCACCATTCCAATCTTCCAGGTTACATGTCTCAATCTGTTTCTACACCTCAACTCCACTTCTCCTCTCACATTGTCTTCTTCTTCTTTTTTCTTTAGTGTGATAATGGACATATAGTATGCTCTACTTGCTGCGAAAAATTGAGCCAGAAATGTGCAACATGCTCTTTACCAACTCTTTCCCGCAACAGAGCCATGGAGCGGGTTCTTGAACTACTTAAAGCTCGATGTCCGAATCCTGGTTGCTCCGAGATTGTCTCTTGTTCTGAAACATCAGCACATGTAACTCATTGTGCTTTCACCCAGCGCACTTGCCCTTTTAGCAGCTGTGACTTTACTTGCTCCTTCAAGGATTTATATGAACACAGCGTTACTAAACACAGGATTGCGTCACCTTACGTTCCTAATCCTGGCCGCTCCTTTCCCTTGAGCATGTTTAAATGCAGAACGCCCATGCATGTGGCTCTCATACCGTATAAGAGGATGATTATTAAGGAACGGACTACAGAAAGAGAAGGAGAAGGAGAGATTGTGGTTGTGGAGTGGTTCGACATGCCAGACGGTCGGATATTCTATGCCTGCTGTATTGGACCAGGAACAGTCAAGTTCTCCTACCAACTGAAGCTATCTTTAGATTCCGGTGATGACTTGGTGTTTAACTCAAACCTCCAAAGAGTCAGTGAAGTGAGCAATGAACCACCAAGTGCGCGTTTTTTGTTGGTTCCTTCATGTATGTTGCCTTACCGCAAGTGTTATATATGCATCAAGCGGGAGGACTCATTAAGATCATGAAGTACGCTCTACTACTTCATCACTCGTCGTCAGCCACACTGATGCTCTTAGCTAATGTATGTCTTGTAGGAGCCGAAAAAAATCTTAACTATGTATGTTTTTGTAGGAGATGAAAAACCGAAAAAAATTGTCCCAACACGGTTGTACTGTAACCGCTATCTAATGTGTGATATTGATCTAAGTTTAAGTTGTGTGTAATATGTGTCCTAGAAACAAACTATATCTAACACAAGATCAATATCGAAAAATTTATCTTCTCACTTTCTCTTCTCTTCTAGTCTATCGTCTGATTTCTTCCTCATTTTGTCTTCCAACCTTCTTTCTCACTACTCATAAGTTCACTTCTCTGAGTTTGTAGTCTTTATTCTTTCTTCGATTCATTATAACAGTACAAGAAAGGAACAAGGAGAAGAAGAAATCGTCATGGTTCACATATTCGGTTTATCTTAGCTCACTTTTGGATGTTATTTTGGTTCGGTTCGAAATAGATTGGTTCGGTTAATCTAAATTGAACAATCCATTACCATGGTTCACATATTCGGTTTAACTCAACCAAATCAAAATAACCGGTATAGCTGATATATGACCCAAACACCTAGTCCAATTTTAGGGTACAGTTACCTTTCCATCTGCACTCCTCCAATGGATATTGATGTCGGACCTGTTGATCCATCTGTCCTTTACGAACAAGAACTCCATGTCTCCTCCGCTGTCTGGGAAGCACAGGTTCCTCCCCCAAACTCCCTTTCCCTTTCAATTTTTCAATTTCATATTAAAATCTCATCTCTCTCTCTCTCTCCCTCCCCAACCATAGGAACGAGGCCTCCTCCGTTGCCAAGAACACACATCACTCCTCCACCAATGGAAACTCACAGACCAACAAACCAAACTCGTCCAAAAAGCAGGCTTCGGACTCTTCCGCAGAATCGGCCCAATGACACTAAACAACTCCCTAATCTCCGCTCTCGTCGAGCGCTGGAGAAGAGAAACCAACACTTTCCACCTCCCTCTAGGAGAAATCACCATAACGCTCGACGAAGTCTCCTCAATTCTCGGCCTCGACATCGATGGAGACCCCATCGTTGGCTCCAAAGTAGGCGACGAGGCTGCGATGGACATGTGTGGGAGACTCCTGGGGAAGCTTCCTTCTGCTGCTAACAAGGAAGTTAACTGCTCGAGGGTTAAGCTGAACTGGCTTAGGAGAACGTTCTCTGAGTGTCCTGAAGAGGCTTCTGATGACGTTGTGAAGTGTCATACGAGAGCGTATCTTTTGTATCTTATTGGGAGTACTATCTTTGCTACTACTGATGGTGATAAAGTGTCGGTGAAGTATTTGCCTTTGTTTGAGGATTTTGATCGGGCTGGGAGGTTTGCTTGGGGAGCTGCTGCTTTGGCTTGTCTTTATCGTGCGCTTGGTAACGCCTCGCTTAAGTCTCAGAGTAATATTTGTGGCTGCTTGACGTTGCTTCAGGTTTTGGTTTTTTGTTGGTTTTTTTTTAAAGTTCTGTGACTATTTGAGTGTTTGCTTATGATTTTTTTTTAATGTGTGTATGTGTTAGTGTTGGAGTTATTTTCACTTGGATATTGGTAGACCGGAGAAGTCTGAAGAGAGTTTCCCACTTGCTCTTTTGTGGAAAGGTAAAGGTAGTAGATCCAAAACTGATCTCTCTGAGTACCGGAGAGAGCTTGATGATCTAGATCCAAGCAAGGTAAAACATTCAATGACACTTCTCTTTTAAATCAGTGATTAATTACACTATTAATTATACTACATAGACTATATTACAGCAGACAATTCTACGACCTTTAAAAATTTGTTTTGTTGTTGTTTTGGCTTATATGATGGTTGTGAAAATGCAGATAAGTTGGTGTCCGTATGAAAGATATGAGAACATGATCCCTCCACATATTAAAGCCAAGCTGATTCTAGGAAGATCAAAGACGACTCTTGTATGCTTCGAGAAGATTGAGCTGCATTTTCCTGATAGGTGTTTAAGGCAGTTTGGGAAACGGCAGCCGATACCTCAGAAAGTGAAACGCCGTGACAGGAAGAACCGGCGGCTCGATGACTTGGACACGTCAATGACTGTAGCGTGCGAGGAATGGGCTGAACGTGGGGATCATATTGTTGACAGTCCTGGAGGTGGAAATGTTGTGGATGATGGAGCTTACATGGAGTGGTATGCTAGGATCAGTATCACTAAACTATATAGAGAAGCGTTCCTCGAGAACCAAGTCATGAATATGGTAAAGAAAAAAGGATGAATTATATTTGTATTTTGGACCTAGCAGTTGATTTTTTGTTTGGTTTTGTGTAGATTGCTTGTATGAGGGAGTTTGAGGAAGCTGCTTCAGGGATTTCGATGGAGAGATTGTCTCCAATAGAGAGGGAAGTGATGGAGAGTGTGAAAGATACATTCTCTAGTAATTTGACGTTTGGAGGATGGCAAGAGGTGGCTGTTAACAGTAGTTACGGGAAGCGCAGGCGTCGGAATGATCAAACTCCGACGATGAATAATGGTGGTGGTGGTGGTAGTCTTCTCGAATCTCTACTGCTTCAAAAGGACACCTGAACCTTTTCTTTCTTTGTATTAGTTTACTTTTACAACTTGTTGCAGTGTTTCGCAGTGTTTATGCATATATTTTTGGGCATTAGGTTCGATTTAAATACAAAACAGAATGTTTGCCAAAAGCACGATGCTCCTTTAACTAATGCTTCTGTTATCTTCCACCCCAAACCAATCTTCTAAAGTTTCCTAAGATATAGGAGAGATCAAAACAGAGGACTATCCAGTTCCAGCAATCTGTGTTTCTGTTCACTATTCTTCTATGGATATCTTATCACAGGTTAGTGACGTGTCATATTTTTCAGTGCATTCAGACGTTTCACTGTATTCAAACGCATAGCTACAGTCATTGTCTTCAGCGTTCCTTTTTGACTGCTTCATCTACATTGATCTGGATACCACATTCAATGATGTTGTGGAACTCGCGGCTGAACTTAAACAGTATCTCGTTGTCCACTTCAAGACATCTGTCTTTGTCTAGCAATTCAGACTGAACTTAACCTGGAACTTTTCTACAGGCCAACCACGTTTGCCAATACGATGACACAAATGGGTCAAAGGGATCTCACCATGCATTCTACCATTACCTTCCTCGCCTTTCACGAGTCTAGTCGGAATAAAGATAACTCATGAAGTTCATAAAGTTGAGAACAGTCGTTTCCAATGGTTGTATGATTCTTCGCAATAATTTGAATCGTTGGTGGAAAATATTTTTCTTGTTGTTTTACTTTGCTACCAATTTGATAACATAATACTTACACACAACATACATTACATATTAGGCATGGCACATCGCACATTTATTAGAACCGAGAAAACGGACCAAACCTTTTTCCGGCTCGGATTTAAACTATATCGAATTATCGATTATCCAAATAAGTTCTATATTTCTATAATAAAAAAATCGAAACTAAACCGAGAACTGAATGAACACCTGAACTTTTATAATATTGTTTATATACTTATAAATATTAATTATATTTAATTTAATATAATTTAATAATTTATAATTGGGTTTTTAGTAATAAAACCCCTCAACTAAAGATGGATCGTAAAAAAAACCCTCAACTAAAGATTTAGTGAAATAAACCCTAAACTTTAGTTCCGTCAATGTTTGTCACCCTCCGTCACAGAATTTTAGACGGAGGGTAACATACGTTAACAGAACTAAAGTTGAGGGTTTATTTCACTAAATCTTTAGTTGAGGGTTTTTGTTACGATTCATCTTTAGTTGAGGGGTTTTATTACTAAATGTGGTTAAATATTTTAAAATCTTTATTATCATTTATTTAGTATTTAAGAATCTTACAATTGCTTTATAAACATTGAAAATAATTTATAATTTTTTGTATATTAATTTATCAAATTTTTAACCTATTTATAAAGCTTAGTAAAAAATTAATATTTTTATAAACTATTAATAAGGTTTAATGATGATTTTATAAGCTTTTGTCTGATATTTCTTAGGATGAAATAATACATAACTTTTCGTGATATTACGAAGTAAAGCGATAAAGCTTTATAAAGGAGGAAACACATACAATTTTCTTATATTAATACTGTCAAATATCAAATAATTAAGATTTTTAAGTGATATAAAGTTGTAGGTAGTGTTGAGGATATTTAATTAGTTTAGAAATTCAACCTTCTTACTTAAAATATGGCAAGGGTTTTTTATCCTCTTTAGACAATTTCAATTTGATTCGTATTTTTTTCTATTTTAGAAGAAATAATGTAAGATTATTTTTCTTCTTTGTAATTTCTGAACCAATATGTTATACTCCTACTATATTAATCAATAAGTTTTTCCTGTTTTATTTATTTACTTCATGTTTTTGTAGTATGACGAATAATTACTTCTTTAATCTTATAAAATCATCATTAAACTTTAATAATAATTATAAAAAGTATTAAATGAGAAAACTTTATAAGTAGGTTATAAAATTGATAAAGTAATATATAAAAAAATATAAATTATTTTCAAGGTTTATAAATCAATTTTAATATTATTAAATAATTAATAAATGATAATAAAGATTTTAAAATAATTAACCACATTTAGTAATAAAACCCCTCAACTAAAGATGGATGGTAACAAAAACCCTCAACTAAAGATTTATTGAAATAAACCCTCAACTTTAGTTATGTTAACGTATATCACCCTCCGTCTAAAATTCTGTGACGGAGGGTGACAAACATTAACAAAACTAAAGTTGAGGGTTTATTTCACTAAATATTTAGTTGAGGGGTTTTTTTACGATCCATCTTTAGTTGAGGGGTTTTATTACTAAAAACCCTTTATAATTTAATAATTTTTGAAATATTATTTATAGACAAAAATATCCAAAAATCATAATTACCATTATACTTTTTAACCGAAATATTTTAAATTATCCAATTTTATTAAATTTTCTAAAAAACTGATATTTAGCTTTATAATTGCCATTTTTTTTACTTTTAACCCTAATTGATAAAAAGGAACCAAACCATAGCAGAACCAAATATGATCTAAAATTACTTTGAATATTAACCGGTAATCAACTTTATTATCTGAATGGATAATCGAAATAACTGAACCCATTTCTTAAAAACCCGAACATTCTAAACTTATAGAACCGAACCGGAAACATAATGGCTAATACATATATTAATCATAATTAATTTATTTATTCAAATAATGTATTGTACATACAATATGACGAATGCCATATTTATATAATTCAAACATAGATATTAAGAATAATCTGTATAATTTCAAATATATATATATATATATATATATATATATATATATATATATTATTCTCAACTTAAATTCATGCATGTACATGCATCAGCTAATAATTATTTACGTTTCTGATATATTATTTAATTTCAGTGTTGTTTTTTTAGAACTTAATTTCAGTATTAACTTTCTATTTTTTGCTGTCATTATGTTTCCTTTTAAACGTATGTACGAAAATCTTTTGTTCATTAAAACACTACTTTGCGTCTTCTCCAAACACTCGTTTGCTTCTTCGCCAAGCACCCTAATTACCTGCCTTCCTCTTTATAAAAAAAAAAATCAAACACTCTTCTACTTGTTCAGTTAAGCTTGACATGGCGTCCAGAAGATTGTCAAAGTCAGTTTCCGTAGCCATCAAGGCTTACAATGCTTTGTCGAGACCCTCTCTCCTCCTCCGTTCTCGAGCTCTCTCTGCCTCTGCTCATCACTTCAGCTCAAGTTCCTTTCTTCTACGGCCACGTTCCTTCATTGGAGCTCCCGGGAACCCCATTACTTCAGCCACTCATGCCGCTACTCGTGGCCAACTGTTACCTCTTTCTCTCCAACTCCCTTCTCCCCGCCGCTTCATGTCTACGGTTCGTGGTCCGTTACATGTCGTTTTTTTTCAGTTTATTTTCGGATATTAATTCAGTATTTTTATTAACTCGAAGAGGTTTTGTCTTTCATTAAGGACGGAGATGAGAATGCACTTAAAAAGTGTGGAACTGATTTAACTGAGATGGCTAGACAAGGGAAGCTCCCTCCTCTTATTGGACGTGATGATGAGATCAAGCGTTGCATCCAGATACTATGCAGGATGACAAAAAGTAATCCTGTTATCATTGGTGAACCTGGTGTTGGAAAAACTGCCATTGCAGAAGGGTAAGGCTTGTAACTAATTATATTAATGTTTTACCGAGAGGTGGCTCTGAACTAAAATGCCAAATTTTATATATAATTGTATCAGTTTTTGTGAAGTATAATGGTTTTACATGCACTATAGACGCCTAACTACACAAGCTGAGATATACTAATCTTTTTCAGGTTGGCTCAGCGAATTGTAAGAGGGGATGTCCCTGAACCTCTTTTGAATAGGAAGGTTGCTCTATATTTCTTTCTTTTTGACTTTTAGTCTGTTACCTTTTTTTAATTTTCAACCTTTAGAGGGTAAGAGGAAGATTGTTGTTACAAGAGTGCTTAATGTAACGTAGGTGATATCTCTTGACATGGGTTCGTTGGTTGCTGGCACCTCATATCGAGGCGAATTTGAGGAAAAACTGAAAGAAATATTCAAGGGAATAACTGCTTCCAATGGGAAGACAATCTTGTTCATTGATGAAATCCACACTCTCGTTGGTGCAGGTGCTTTGTTTATTACTCCCTCTGATTTATATTACTCCCTCTGTTTCTTAATATATGATGTTTTGGGTTAGTGCACAAAAATTAAGAAATTCACATTATTCTAAAAAGTATTTTAAAAGATATAATATTATAATCATTCAACCGATTATAAAAAAGACTATAAAATTTGATTGGTTAATCATTTAAAGTTAATCTTAAAATCTCAAAAGAAACCTTAAAACCTCAAAACATCATATATTTTGAAACCATTTCAACCTTCTAAAACATCATATAATTTGAAACGGAGGGAGTATGTCTTATTTCTAGGTTTTTTCGGCCAAATGATTAAATGTTCAGTTTGCACTTATTTAACTATTAGAATTATATTGTTTTCATTATTTTTATTATTTTTAATTTACGAAGGAGTAAAAAAGATAAATTAGTGACAAATTATATTGAAATTCTAAAATAACACTTACATGTAACAAAATTTTTACTCACAACGACATTTATATGAAAATGAAGGAGTAGTAAATGATATTTTATATAAACGTCTCATTGCCAATATTATGGTTAGGAGTTGGAAGTTAATAAATAGTATCTTTGTGTAGGAGCTTGTGAAGGTGATTCAATGGATGCGAGCAACCTCTTGAAACCAATGCTTGCAAGAGGTGAACTGCGATGCATTGGTGCAACTACCCTGTCTGAATACCGAAAATACATAGAGAAAGATCCAGCTCTGGAACGTAGGTTTCAGCAGGTGTTCTGTAGCCAGCCATCTGTTGATGACACCGTCTCTATACTTCGTGGGTTAAGAGAGCGGTACGAGAAGCACCATGGTGTTAAGATCTCAGATGGTTCCCTTGTTTCAGCAGCTGTTTTATCAGACCGTTACATCACT